TGTTGAGTATGAACCCCCCTGTTAAGCCTGTTGAGTATGAACCCCCCTGTTAAGCCTGTTGAGTATGAACCCCCCTGTTAAGCCTGTTGAGTATGGAAGTTTGCACCCCCTGTTAAGCCTGTTGAGTATGGAAGTCTGCACCTCCCTGTTATGCCTGTTGAGTATGGAAGTCTGCACCTCCCTGTTAAGCCTGTTGAGTATGGAAGTTTGCACCCCCCTGTTAAGCCTGTTAAGCCTGTTGAGTATGAACCCCCCTGTTAAGCCTGTTGAGTATGGAAGTTTGCACCCCCCTGTTAAGCCTGTTGAGTATGGAAGTTTGAACCCCCCTGTTAAGCCTGTTGAGTATGAACTGGATAGCCCTGTGCTCTGTCAAGGCCAAGCAGAAGATAGCGATTTTTGTGTCAGTGACATCTACCCCCTTAATTGGTGACGATGCTCATTCGTATGTACAGAGGCCGACGGTTGAGGGTGTCTTCATCGAGCGGCCACTGACTCAACTCAAAGGTCAAGGGCTGTGTAATTCACACTTGCGAGACAATGGAATGCGGATTGCTTATGGGTTTCAAGTGGAATCACGTTTCCCCTTTTTTTTTATTTATTTGTTGTTATATGGTCCGATGGACCACGGATCAGATATTAAACTGATCAGAACAGGTACTACACTTGATATTAGCAAAAGGCCGAGAAAGGTATATCCCGTTTTATTTCTTTTTTTTTTCCCGTCTTGTTTCTTTTGTGGTGCGAAAACATGTTGCCACGTAGAACTCCACTCCACTGGAACTCTGTACTGGTGGGGATGTGTGGACATGAAGGGGGATCTCTGGGGGGGGCTCTGCAGTTGCCACGTGGCGACGACACTGATTGATATCACTTCCACCGCTTTGGAGTTTTATGTATGATAATAGGGGCTGGCTCCACTACTTTCACAAATGTGCAACATGAGAATGGATCTTCCGCTAGAACACGGAAAGATACACCGCCATATTTTGTGGTCTTGTGTGCATCTCCAGAGTAGTGGAGCGAGGGCCATAGTGTTGCAGAATCTTGTCCACCACTATTTATTTTTAACAATATCTTTGTTTTATCTTCTTTTTTTTTTTTTTTTTTTGTTGATTGCAAGGGGATAGCCAGCCCCTGACTGTATTGTATCCACTTGACTCCATCGGGGTCCGAACTCATGAGCTGTTGTTTGTGAAACGATTTCCCTGTTTGTGTCATTCAGCCACACGGGCTGGGTGATCCTTTTCAACGGGTTTCGGGCTGGGGTGATCCTTTTAAACGGATTTCTTGGCTTGTATCTACCTGACTTCATCGGGATTCGCGCTCATGACCTGTCGTTTGTAAACAATTACCTGTTTGTGCCATTCAGCCGCATGGGTTGGGTGATCCTTTTAAACGGGTCTCGAGAACTGGGAGAGTGGATTTGTTGGCTTGCCCCCTTCTCTCTCCCTTTCTCCCCTGCTTTCTCCTCTTCGCCACGTTCAATCAACCCCCCGTTTTCGTGGGGTCTCCTCCTTCTCCGAAACGTACCCTACTTCAATCGGGTCCTGCAATCACCCTGCCTTCAATGTTGTTGTGCTATAAATAAATCTGAGTACGGACGCCGCCCGGCCGGGCGGGGCCCGGGCAGGTCGCCCGGGCAAACCGGG